AAGAGAAAGAGAAAGAGAAAGAGAAAGAGAAAGAGAAAGAGAAAGAGAAAGAGAAAGAGAAAGAGAAAGAGAAAGAGAAAGAGAAAGAGAAAGAGAAAGAGAAAGAGAAAGAGAAAGAATCTTCTTCCTCAGGTGTTGAACTATAAGAATTTCGGACTTTCATGTCTTTATTTATTTTTGCTTACACAATGCTTCGGTCAGAAGTATCACTGACCGTTATCAAGTGTAAACTGGAAATAAATAAAGATAATGGAAGTGCGTCTGTTCGCGTCCAATCTGAACTGACGAGAGCAGTGGATATCAAATGAGGAGTTAGACAGGGGTGTGTTCTTTCACCACTCCTCTTCAACGTCTACTCAGAGGAAACAGAGTTAACGGCATACCACTGAACAATTTGCGCTACGCGGATGATACAATCCTTCTAGCTGAAAACATGCAAGACCTTCAGAATATGTTAAATAACGTCATCACAACTAGTCGAGAATATGGTCTGACACTCAATGTTAAGAAGACCAAATACATGATTGTTACTAAAACTGGAGGGCTCAATGAACATCTGTACGCGGAAGGCGAGGAGCTAGAAAGAGTAGAGAGGTATGACTACCTGGGTACAAGTGTCGACTGCAACCCGGATTATTGTTCAGAATTAAAGATTCGCATTGAGAAGGCCCGTGCATCCTTTGTGAAGATTAAGAAGCTGCTCTGTAGCCGCATATTGTAGGATGTTGAGAATACCATGGACAGAACATGTAACCATCGTGGAGGTTCTGAGAAGAATGAGAAAGGGCGTAGAGATCCTCAAGGAAGTAAAAAAAAAGAAAATTGCAATATCTCGGCCATATCATGAGAGGTCTAAGGTATGAGATTTTGCAACTCAAGGAAAAAATTATAGGAAAAAGATCTGTTTGAAGGAGAAGAATATCCTGGCTCAGAAACCTGCGAAAATGGTTAAATGTCACGTCATCTGACCTATTTAGGGCCGCAGCTTCCAAGGTCAAAATAGCAATGATGATAGCCAACCTCCGATATGGAGACGGTACATGAAGAAGAAGAAGAAATGGAAGTTCGAAATTGTTTTAGTTCCAATACTGAATCATTGTCTACCACATTCAAAGTAATTCTTCCTCAAGCTGATTCACCTATTGCAGCATTAATAATGCTTTCACTATCCTTATCTTTGTTTCACTATTCCTGTTAAATAACCCTGTCCGGTGTATTATTCACACACGAGAACTTTGATGTGTGCCAATTTACCGATCCCAGGATATTCGTGTAAATTCTAGATGCGTCTCGGGTTCCGATGGCCAAAAGCCAACCTATCCAGAATTACAAATCGCAGTCCTTGACCCAATTTTGCGAGAAATGATACGTACAAAGAGCACACACATTACATTACTGCTGCTAGCAGCCAACAGAACCAGCGTGAGAGCACAAAAATCGTTTCTTTCCAGTCATCTTTTTTGTTTTTAATTTGGCCATAGATACGCCATTTGATAAACTTGAACTTGGTTCTAACTCAGTAGTTTAAGTTAGTAGCCATAAAACACACCCATCATATTATGATATTATCCAAACAAAAACCAACAAATTCCAAAAATTATCTGTGTATATATATATATATATATATATATATATATATATATATATATATATATATCAATATATACTTACATTAATAACATTCATTAATAAAATATATATATTTAAAAGATGTGGATAAAGAACTAATATAAAAAATCTCAAATATACACAACTGTATATGCAGTCAATTTGTTTTTGTAATTTAAACATAATTAATGAAAAGGTTTAAATAAACGTAAATATTACTAATAAATTGTGGTTTATATTAACAAAACAAAAAAAGCATAAATCCGATATATTAACTAAAAAGGTTACCTAATCGAGACATACAAACAAATATCAACTAAAATGTAATTATTATAAATATTATATATTTTTAGTGTAAACATAGTGTACCTTTAAATTTTTTAATCAGTTTTACATTGCAAAATAGCTGAATTTATAAAATAAACAAACAAAAAAAGTGACGGATTCGAAAAGTTCGTAAATAAATACATAAACAGAAACTGTTCAATACAATTCCAGTTGCCATTTATTTTTATAAATATTTATTTAATAGGTATTACATTTAACTGAAAAATATTTTGATTAGATATTTAATATACCTATGTACCGGGTGGCCAACTAAGAATGGACGCCGGCTGTATCTGAAAAACTATTTAAATATAATGAAAAAATTATAATAACTTTGGAAAAAAAATTAAATAAACTAGGGCTGTTTAAAAGAGCTTTTCTTCCTTAATGATCTCCAGTATAAAAAGAGGGCGCTGTTTGGCATCATCTATAGTTTATAATCATCTGCTGATGATGCTAACATGGTTAGCGAAACGCGCCTCCAGTGTAAAAGTAAAAGTGTTTTGGTGTATTGTGGTGATTTAGTGTTTTATTTTGCTGTATAACACCAAAGGTTCCAACCCTTAACTGTAATCATCTATACTAATATATAAAATCCTTAAGTAACTGACATACTGATTAATCACGATCCTGCTCAAACCACTCAACGTAAGAAGCTCAATTTTGGCATACAGGTTGATTCTAGAGTGTAGAGGTTCGATAAGAAGGGATTTATCGAAATTCCAGTTCTAAGAAGGTGAAACCACCCCTCAAATATTACAATATTTTTTATTTAAAAAACGGTTTCCGAAAAAACGCTTAAACACGTATATTTTATTTGGTTTTTTTACATATTTTAAGATTTTTTAAAAATGTATACAGGGTGTTTCAAAAAATCTGGTCATTGATTAATCACGATCCTTCTTAAAGCGTTTGGCGTAAAAAGCTGATTTGTTGAAAACAGATTGACTTTAGAGTGTAGAGGTTCGATAA